GGAACCCGCCTACACTGTTGGTGGAAATGTAAATTGATACAGGCACTATGGAGAACAGAATGGGGGTTCCTTAAAAAACTAAAAGTAGAACTACCATATGATCCAGCAATCCCATTCCTCGGCATATATTTGAGAAAACCATATTCAAAAAGATACATGCACCTCTATGTTCATGGCAGCTATGCACAGTAGCCAGGACATGGAAACAGCCTACTTTTCCATTGACAGAGGAGCAGTGAAAGAAGATGTGGCACAAGTATTACTCTACCACAAACATTACTCAGCCATGAAAAAGAATGTAATTTGCAGGAACACATATGGATTTAGAGATCATCATACTAAGTAAGTCAGAAAGACAAATACCATATGATATCACTTACATGTAGAATCTAAAATAAGACATAAATGAACTTATTTACAAAACAGAAACAGACTCACAGACATGGAAAACAAACCTACGGTTACCTAAGGGAAAAGGGAATGGACAAGGGATAAATTAGGAGTTTGGGATTAGCAGATACAAACTACTATATATAAAGTAGGTAAACAACATCCTATTGTATAGCACAGGGAACTATATTCAATATCCTGTAATAAACCATAATGGAAAATACGAAAACTAACACGTGTATATATGTATAGCAGAATCACTTTGCTGTATACCAGCAACTAACTTAACATTGTAAATCAATTACACTTCAATTTAAAAAATAAAATGCAAATTTCAGGAAGGGTGTAGGTAATTTGGAACTTGTCAATGACAAAGTCTTAACTATCTTCTCCATTAAGCATTAGTAAAAAGGGCTTAGCCATCTAAAAAGGTGACTGATTTGTTCCGTCTGCCAGAAACCCAATTTGAATTTGCTTGTAACTGATGGGTTTAACATTATTGTCCCTGATTCATGGCTGAAATTTTGGAATGAAAACTATATGGTGTCTGTTATGTATCTGTGTTGTAGCTGTGCTGCTGCTGCTAAGTTGCTTCAGTCGTGTCCGACTCTGTGCAACCCCATAGACGGCAGCCTACCAGGCTCCTCTGTCCCTGGGATTCTCCAGGCAAGAGTACTGGAGTGGGTTGCCACTGCCTTCTCTGGTAGATGTGCTGTATTGCCAAAATTAATTTGTAAAAGAACTCTATATAATTGGCTTAAAGAAAATAAAACACCTATATAAATACTCAGAAATTTCACATGATCTTGTAAGCAGATAGGTAAGAGGTCCCTGGACACGTTTTCTTGACAGTAGAGAAGCCATTTTTAGCCTAAGTCATTTTGTGATCTAAGCCTGGCCACAATGCTTGTCCTTGAACAGGTCTCATGACAGTAACTAACGATTTTAAGAGAACAAAGAATCCAGAAAACAATGGCTTATCAGGCAAGAGAAGTAACAACAGCCAAGATAATATTATCAGTTGTTAACAGAACTCCAGGTTCTGTTTCAGTCTTAAAAGATTAGCCTGAAGCACTGAACCACCAGATCAACTGACACCTAAGGGATGATGTTGTCTTTTCCTCACTCTCCAGACTTCAATCAACTAAAGCTAGGACTCTCAATCACCCAAGTCCCTTCATGAATATGCATGTGCCCTTACACAGCCCCACCAGTTTTGCTGTTTGAGGAGACACTGTTTTGGGACAGATCCGCAGTGTTCTCCTTACTTGCTGCAAGTAATAAATCCTTTTTTCTCCCAGTCTTTGACTTGGTTTTATGGCTTGACACCAAGAGGTGAAGCCAATTTTCTGGTAACAGCTGGGAAATACTCAATATTGAATCAATAGCTGGTATTAAAGTTAGCTTAAGTTTGCTGAATAATATATATCTCTTTAGAATCATTAACATAATGGATAATATTTTTATTGTACCTTAGATTTTCTAGAAATCAAACAAGACCTTAAATCTGTTGCAAAATTTGCTGGCAAGAAAATAACTTGATATGATGAAACTTTAAAGTAAACAGAGGTAAATGAAATAAAAGTCTTTAGGTAAACTCTTTCGGATTAATTATGCTTTGGGTATGTCTATCCAAAATGCTCTCCATATTTTGGTAATTTGAAATTTTAGCATTTTGCTAAACTAAGTTAAATGCTGAAAGTCTAACAAATAGATAATTACCAAATAAAATGAACTACTGTAGCATTAGTGAATATAGATTTCCTTTCACAAAGAAACTAAAGATACCTGAACTATTTAATAGGTTTGGTGTCATGCTAAGACATTTTCTATTAAAAAGCACATGTTTTCTAGAAACCATAAATAGTATTCATGTACTATTTATGAGCATAAATAGTATATAAATATTTATATACTATATATAAACTTGCCAACCTACAGAATGCTAACATAAAAAAGTTAATTGCTTGTTAGTTTTCATTAAAAATTAGAGTTTTAAGAGCTGGGAATTCTAATTAATACATGCAATTTAAGCTACTAGAATAAGGGAAACATTGCAGTATCTGAGGAAAGAAAAATGTTTTCAGGAAAAAGAAGATATGAGGAACAGAAATACATTTCTATATTTGCCTTTGAGATCTTTTATTGTCACTCTGGTTACGTGACTAAGAATCGTTCCATGTACAATCCTATGTGACCAAGTGTTTTAAAGCTTTTTGATATATTACATTTCTTTTTTTAAAACTTTTTGGCCACATGGAGTGGCATGTGGGATCCTAGTTCCCAGACCAGGGATGGAACTGGCACTCCTTGCATTGGAAGCTCAGTCTTAACCACGACAGAGAAGTCTCAAAACTTTTTGATATTTTTGACAAACTTCCCAAAGTTCAAATTCTAAATAAAGTTCATCTGACCTCTAATTAACTTTGAGGTTTTCCAAAGGGTCTCAAGAACACCTCAAAATGTTCTTCTCTGTCTCAGAGAGGACAGAATGACCCTAGTATGACCCTGTACTAAGCTGGGTTTTATTGCTATGGGTTTCCACAGTACTCTAAACACCCCTTCATAGCACTTGCTTGCTTATAATCATTGATTAAGGGCTATGTCTGTCGTGAGAATGAACTGAAGGCAGCAACAGCCAGTGTAGGGAGACCAATTCAGAGGCTAGTCCAGGTGTCAATGATGGAAATGGAGAGAAGCAGACAGTCGGTTCAGAGAGCTTTCAAAGGAAGAATACACAAGATCCAGCAATTGATTTATGGAAAAGTCAGAGGGTGAGCCAAGGAGCCGGCTATCATGCTTCTCATTTGAGCACCTGGTAGATGGTAAGTGTCTGAGATAGAATATTGATGATCTGTTGAGGGGGGTGGGGGGGATGAATGTCTGTGACATGGATGAATTTACTGGGTGACTTCCATTTGAAACAAAACCTAAATTTTACTAACATCTCTTCAGATACTACAAATGAGGTTTGTGTTATAATATCAGCTGATATCTCAAAGAATATCTCCTTGATTAACATTAATCAAGTATAGTCTACATATTCTTTCACATTGCTAAATTTCTGTTAAAAATTAAAAGTGGAAAATATGATGGAAATGAGAATAATTCTACAGTGAAAAAAAGAAAGTGCAAGTGAAGTCGCTCAGCTGTATCTGACTCTTTACAACCCCATGGACTGTAGCCTACCAGGCTCCTCAGTCCATGGGATCTTCCAGGCAAGAATACTGGAGCGGGTTGCCATTTCCTTCTCCAGGGGATCCTCCTGACTCAGGGATCGAACCCTGGTCTCCCGCACTGTAGGCAGAAGCTTTACCGTCTGAGCTACCAGACATTGCGCCAATTCTATATAACTAAATGCTAACTTGTGTTTGATTTTATTACTTCAAGTTGAACATGAGGAGGAGACTAGAACTTAAGATCATAGCTCCTAGATAGAGTAGACATATGGGTCATTTCAAGGTTGAGAAATGTACTTAGGCAACGGTTTTCAGTAAAAGCTAACTTTGACATTTCCTGATATTTGTATTAAAACAGTTGCTAACAATTATCTGATATACATTTGAAAACACAAAGTGAACCCCATGGGAGCCAGGATCTGATATGTCATTCCAATATCTCCTAACAACCAGAACCTACAAGGTACCTAAAACATGGTGATCTGTTTGTTAAACTGAAGCAGCTCATTCAATTTTCTCATTTTTTAAAAAAGTTTTCTCATTCTTGCTACATTTATTTTTAAACCAGCGAGTGAAAAAAGCCTTCACCCATTTCTCTCGGGTGAGGAAAGAGTAACTGTGACACAGGAGTCTTGAGCCAAAACCGACGATTCTAGCTGTATTAAAAACTAAAGAGGGAAACTGGAAAAACAAATACTGAAGACCATTAAAGAAAAAGCTTTGGGAAATAAGAGGCAAACTGATAATCAATGGCTTGGGGCAAACCCTCTCTTACGGTGAAAGGGTCCGCTGTGACTACCTTGGGACGAGCGCACTTTCTTGGAAACAGTTACTAGCCCCGGGGTGGGAGAAAGCTGCCCCCACATAGCGCCTCACCATGCCAGGCTCAGAAGCTAGCTCCCCGGCCCCAGACCCTCGTCTCGCCCGGGGGCACCTTTCTTCTCTCAGCCCCACATTCCCCGCCTTCTTGTTGCCGGTGGTGTCCCTGGCTCAGCCTCCCCCACTCCCCAAACCTCAGTTCCTGGTCCCTGCCTTTACCGCTCCTGGAATCAGCCGTCGCGCACTTTGCCTCGCACCTCACCCCTGGGGCGGTAGCCGCCTCTCACCAGCAGTACCACTCCAAGCCGCGCCAGCTTCGCTTCAGCCGCCACTTCCCCGCCCCCGCAGTCGGCCCGCACCAATCAATGCCCGGCTTGCAAGCCCGACCAATCAACTCCTCCTCGAAACCAATCCTCGCGGGAACTGCCCCTGAGCGACGGCGCTGTGCTGCGTGCTGGTACCCAATTACCCGGATGGAAATCAAAGCCCGGCCCACCAGGTCAGCCAATAGACTCCAGGGAAAACCGACGACGTTGAGATTGCACCTGCTGAGTATTAAACAGCCAATTAGTGGCTCAAGGAGTACTCCCAGCCCATCTCCAGGCCAATTACCTAGGAGGCTTCCACTGAGGTGGGGGTGGGGGGTGTAAATCAACGCTCCGGAGGTGCAAGGGGGTGGAATCACGCAACCGCATCACCGCACAAAATTAGTGCCTTTGTACAAAGCCAGTGCCACTCTACAACCCAGTGACCATTGGGGAAGCCGCCTCCTGACGGGCGATCCTTTGCCTCGATCGGTCCGCATACCATGACAGAGACTCATGAGACACGAAAAACGTCCCCCTGCCTCATCCCGCGGGAAAACATTAAAAAGTCTTTGTAGAGATGAAGAAAAAGCCAAGCGGAAGGAATTGCGCCGCAGAGCGTGAGGATCTCTATTTCTCTGTCGAGGAGTGAACACATGACGACTGACACCACATAGCAGGAGAGATGAAGGACCCAAGTTCGGGGCAACGCGTGGTAAGGGAGCTGGGGGTAGTTCGGGCATCAGGGGCCCAACCCTTCCCTGGGGTTGGGCTACTGGCGCGAAGGCACAAGCTGCGGGTAGGGGCGCCGTTACTGTGGGGGCGAGGAAGGGGATGCAGACGGCGGTTTGCTTTGGAAGAGTGTATTCCAGTCGCCGCCTGGGTACTTGGACCGTTATGGACGGTTGGGTCCTGCTACCCACTCAGAGCGGCGGAGAGCCTCGCGAGGCGGCCCTGACCCTTCCCTGCCGCCAGTCCCCGCCCCTCATTAGGGGCTCACCCTGCGGGCAGGGGTTGGGCACTCCATGTAATGTGGGAATCTTCGCACCAGCTGCTATCACAATGCCTGGCACATGATAAGCACGCAGTAAATGTTTGTAAAATAAATGCAAGATTATATGTTTAGTTAACTAAGGAGATGCCATTGAGCCTCAGTTTTCAGTTTTGTATTAATCTAAAAAATATATGTGTTTTGAATATGTAATACATGTACATTCTACCAAGGAACGAACAGGTTTCTCATCCTTAAAAGAAGCAACCCAGTTTTTACCAGATTCTTGTGGATTTTCCACAAGATTTCTATAATATGCATACGTTATTTACATATATTATCCAGTTGATAACATGTTATATATGACTATTTTGCAATTTCTTTTTGCATGGTCCAGATATTTTTCTGTAGCAGCACATAGGTATCTGCCTAATAGTTAAGTTTCACAGCAAGCTTGAGGCATGTATTAAGGTTTATTCAATCAGTCCTTTAACATTATATTGATACCCAAGTATATTTTGTTTGTCTCTTGTATATCTGTACAGTAAATATTTAGGGCTTCAAACATTTAAGTCTGAGAAGTGTGTGTATTTTTTTTTTAAATTTAGCTATATACAATTTCACAAATTCTCTTTTCTTCCACAAAGATTTTTCTCATTTACATTTCACCAACAGCATTTGAAAAGGATTTGGTAAGTATAATATTGACAAATTGCCTTCTACAGAAGTTTTACCAGTTTCCTGTGCCATCAGCAAGCTTATACAGCCTGTTATAAAACTTTTGGATTTTTGACAATCTGGTAGTGTAAATGGCATTTCACTGCAATTTTAATTTTCATTTTTCTTATAAGGTTGAGCATCTCTTAGTACGTTTAAGTGGCAATTATATTTTTCTGTAAATTGTCTGTTCATATACTTTGGATATCTGATAAGGGTTAGATAAAAGCTTCCCAGGTGGCACTAGTGGTAAAGAACCCCTCTGCCAGTGTAGGAGAGGTAAGAGGTGTGAGTTTGATCCCTGGGTTCGGGAAGATCCTGATTCCCCAGAGACCCGAATGGCTACCCACTCCAGTATTGTTGCCTGGAGAAATCCATGGACAGAGGAGCCTGGGTGGGCTACAGTCCATAGGGCTGTAACAAGTTGGACACAACTGAGGTGACTTAGCACACAATACAAAATTGGATCTCTATTTCACACCTTAACACCCAAATAAATTCCAGGTGGACTAAATACTTACATATACAAAAAGGACATTATAAAAGTAAAGAAAACATAGGGTAATTTTTAAATAACCTTAGATAGTAGGAGGCTTTTCTAAATATGATATGAAACCTAGAAGTTATCAAAGAAAATGCTAACAAATTCAGCTACATAAAAATAAAAAATACTTGCATAACAAAAAAAGTCACAGTAAAAAGAAGAAGACATAGGACAAATTGGGACTGGGTGAATTGTGATTTCTTTATTCTCATCTCCAGTCCTAAAGAGTCCATTTTATTTCCTTGAAGAGTATTCTGAACAAGGTGTAGGTGGCAGCAGGTGAAACTAGTTAAAGTGTGGGTGGCCCAGAATTCAGTGGGCAGCTGTTTCCACTCCACAAGGCAAAGCAGGGAAGTAGACTTTAGCTAGAGGGTTGGACAGGGAAGGATTCTCAACACAGTAGTTCCAGAGCCTGCTGCTTACAGAGTTCCCTTCTTGGACAACATGCAAACCATTCAAATGCTTCTCTATCTGAGGTTTTGGAAAACAACACAGTGGCTCTGCTCATTGTAGGATTCGCCCCATCACTCAAGGGTCTTCACCAGAAACCAGCAATTGGGAGTGTGGGTCTTAGTATCAGAAATTATGCTGGTGCTACTCTTCTGTCTTTAGGTCAGATTAATGAGTTGTGGCAGGTGTCTTAGGAGAGAGACACTCTCCTCAGCCTCTTTGGCCACCACCATTCAGCTCGAAGTCTTCCTCCTTAATTCCCCTTTACAAAGCAGTTTGGAGGAAGAGGATTCAGGAGTTCTTTATCTCTCACACTCTCCAGCTTGCATCACCACCACACTGACTTCTTAGAGCAAAAGTCCTACCCAAAGCCTCCTGCATCTCTCTGAGAGATAGATGCTCCGGGGAAAATGGTGGCGGGGAGGGGAGCAGAGCAGCTGGAGGCAACAGTATGTTTTCTTATAGGATCTGTCCTATCACTTGCTCTTACTTATGCAATTAGCTTCTTCACACCATAGCCCTTCCTAGCCTTTTCTCTTTGCCGCTAATGGACCTGGAGAGCACAGGCAGCCTAAGCCTTCACCTTTCTCCCTGCCACCTGAGGCTTCTCCCAGCAGAGGTTCTAGAAGCATTTTTGTCCGTTGCATGCACCAGGTATTCTCACAGGGGTCTGTAACTCTCAAAGTTAAGGATCATTGCCTTGCAGCATGCTCTGCTTTTGAATCAGGAAAACAGCCCAGCAAAGGACGTAGGGAAATTAGAGTATCTCAGGAACCAAAATAGGGAGTGTGGAAGTGCTGCCAGAATGTCTTTGGGTCCAAACTTCTCTCAGCTTAGATGAGATCGTGTCTGAAATGAAAGAGAGGGAGGGGTAGAGAGAGGATTGGGCAGGATGACCTCAGGAAGGTTCTCTCAAGCAGGAGTAGGCAGGTGAAAAGAGCTGAATTCTTCTCGAGAGTAAAGCAGTTCACCAATCGTCCCACCATACTGGAAATTCCTGAGCTGGCGCTCTATAACCTAAGAGGTTGTTGAGCTTAGGACTCTGAAAAGCACCTATGAAATCTGAAGCCTCCATTTTTAATCACAAGAGGCTGTGGTGCTGGCATCCAGGCATTTCATCTGATTTCTGGAATTTCTTCTCCTTTCTGCTGGTCCCTGGGGCAGAGGTAAGGACATTGGGAGAGGAGATTGAGAAAAACAGATTAAAAACCAACAACTGATCCTCTGCTTCCCGAATCAGGTGCATTAGAGTTACTGAAAGAAGGTGAGGATCAACAACTGACCCCAGTTTTCCTTAAGAGTTGGTCAGAGTAGGTGGGGCGGAGGATGTCCCCTGGATTTTACCTTTCTCACAGGTCAGTTCCTGCAGCCGAGAGACCCTGGGGAAGCGGGTAATGAGAGCAGTGACTGGAACTATACGACAATGTCGTGGAAAGCATTTGGCTTTTGAATCAGATAGCCCTAAGTTCAGAAGCAGCTCCCTTACTAATTAGCTCTGTGTACTCGAGCATGTTACTTAATCTACCTGACCTTTAGTTCCATCAGCCAAGATTCCCTACCTTATAGGGTTGATGTGAGGGTTAAATTAGAAATCCTACATATAACCACTGACATAAAATAAGTGTTATTTCTTTTCTGTCTCCACAGCTGTCACCCCAGGGGAGAGCTGGCATTGGGGTGCCTGTGATGTGGACCATAACATTCCTGCACATACACACATACCACTAGCCCATGTTTTCGGTTGTCATCACACACTTGTCCACACACAGACACATACCCCACCCCACCACCCCAGCTAAAGCAGCCTTTCCAGACAGGTGAGGTAAGCAGTTGGCTTACTGATGATGATACAAGCTGTGGTACAAGTGCTCGTCCCAGTAACCTTGTTACAGTAATTAGTGTCACTCCTTGAAGGTGCTCTGGAAAGGCTCTATCAGGAGAGCACGAGGTGGTAGTGGGGGTGGGGGAGCCCCACAGGCATCTCCTCTAGGTTGAATGTGTTTGGGGGGGGGGATACTTTTCCTACCTGTGCTGAGGAGGCCCTAGTCTACACCTAGAGTTATAACATCTGGAGCTGTGTTGTCTAATACAGTAGCCACTCGCTACATGTAGCTATTGAACACTTGAAAGATAGCTGGTGTGACTGAGGAGTGGAATTTAAAATTTATTTCATTTCAGTTAATTTAAGTGTTAAAACCAGTATTTATTTATGGAAAACTTTTTTTGGCTACACCGAGCTACACATGGGATCTTAGTTCCCTAACCAGGGATTGGAACCATGCCCCCCTACAGTGGAAGCACAGAGTCTTAACCACTGGACTACCAGGGAAGTCCCTAGAAAACTTTTAATATGGTTGGAACAACTTGGATATATGAGGTGATTTTTTCAACAGTGAATTTTATGAAACCTAAATACAGATCAGATATTTCTGGCAAAAATTTAGTTATCAAATTGGAATGTGCCGTAAGTGTAAAGGATATACTGTTTCAAAGGCCTAGTAGGAAAAAAAAATGTGGAATATTTCATCACTCATTTTTATATTGATAACATGTTGAAAATTATCATAGTTTGGGTACGCTGGGTTAAATAAACTATAGTCTTAAAATTAATTGTATCTGTTGCTTTTTTTTTTTCAATATGATACCAGAAAATTTGAAATCACCTAAGTGACTCGCGGGACTTCCCTGGTAGCTCAACCGGTAAAGAATCCAGCTGCAATGCGGGAGACTTGGGTTTGATCCCTGGGTTGGGAAGATCCCCTGGAGGAGGGCATGGCAACCCATTCCAGTATTCTTGTCTGGAGAATCCCCATGGACAGAGGAGCCTGGCAGGCTACAGTCCTTGGGGTTGAAAAGAGTTGGACACGACGGAGCGATTCGGCACAGCACAGCACAAGGGACTGTTTCTCCTGGGCTGTTCTGGAGGCTGTGGGGCTCAGGCAACAGCAGCTCCTGATCCAGACACATGTCATCTGTTCCCCACTGCATCAGGGTGGGGGTGCTTCCCAGAGACGATTTCTCTGAACTGCAATGCTGCTCCTGCCCTTTTCTTCATTGCAGTGTGCACAATTGAAACGAGAAGTTCTAGCACCTGTCCTCCAAGTCCCAATCTAACAAGCAGCTGGTGGAAGATTTTGGAGATGGGGGAAGAGGGGCGTGCCCCAGGGGAACCTTTCTGGTGTCTTATAACCTGGGGAGGAGAGGTTGCTGCAAGGCTAAGAGAACTGTCTGTGCGGTGGGGGGCAGGGTTGGAGGCTCCAGGGTACTCAAGATTGCCTGATTCCCCAGCCTCACTCTCCAAACTGCTGGGTTTCACATTCACCTCTGCATCCTCCCCACCCCACCCCCATATTCCCACCTCTGCCCCGTTGAAGAGTTTGCCTACTGGTGAAGTCTGGCTGCCTCCATATGGCACCAGCTTCTCTCACCTGTCAGGGATAGTTTGGGCTGGGAGTAGAGTCTCCCCCAAGCAAGGACTATGACAGCAGGAATGGCTTGGAAGCTGATGATGCTTGCGGATTGTTGGGTGAGGGATGGGTGGGGGCCCAGAAGATGGAGGGGAACTGGGGATGCTGTGCAGATACTGCTGCAGAGAGGGAGGGAGAAAGAGAGGCTCCCCGGGACCTCGTGACTCTCCACTTCTTGGTCCCTCCTCCCAGCTCCTTTCCTCTCCTTTCACTCCTCCCCTTCCTATGATGCTGAGATTCCTTCTACCTCTCTTGAGCTCACAGCATCTCCACTTTTTCTGACACTGCTTTGCCCTCTCTTTGAAGCACATTCAGAGGCAGTCAGCATCTTCTCCTCCCACTCCACCTCAGCATCTGGGGTCTCCGTAAGGACAGCAGAAAGGCGTGTAGTTCCTGCTGCTCCTTCTTCCCTCCACTTTTCACTACAGCTTGCAGTGCCCCTCCCACCTTGCTCCTCCAAACCTAGTCCTGTTGTGTTCTGGGTCTCTCTCCTTTGACAGCTGCAGATTCTCGTTTTTGTTAGCATTTTGTGGACGTTCTCTTGCCTTCCACTAACGGCGCTGCTGCTGCTGCTGCTGCTGCTGCTGCTAAGTCACTTCAGTCGTGTCCGACTCTGTGTGACCCCATAGACGTCAGCCCACCACGCTACCCCGTCCCTGGGATTCTCCAGGCAAGAACACTGGAGTGGGTTGCCATTTCCTTCTCCAATGCATGAAAGGAAAAAGTGAAAGTGAAGTCGCTCTGTCGTGTCTGACTCTTAGTGACCCCATGGACTGCAGCCTACCAGGCTCCTCCATCCATGGGATTTTCCAGGCAAGAGTACTGGAGTGGGGTGCCATTGCCTTCTCCAACCAAGGGCACTAGGGATCTGCAAATCCACTAGGAATGGTAGGGAGAGTCCAACCAGAATAAGAAAGAAAGGGGAGGAGCTGGGTGTCCTGGGTTGGAATTTCTGCAGAAGGATCCTTTGGAAGGCAGAGACTCTCTGCCCCAACTCTGGAGATGGAGCACACAGAGGAAAGGGCTGACATAGAACTGGGCTGGGGGTGCTGATCTTTTCAGGCATGGCGGACAACCTTTTGTATAAACCTTTGGCTGTCAGGCTCATTAGATTCAGGCAAGGTCACTGGGTTATAGGTTTAATAGGCAGGCAGAAGGGTAGGAAGTAGGATTCTGACAGAAAAAAGGGGTGGAAAAGACTGAAGTAAAGAAAACTCGAGCAATCACATTTAGTTGTGGCTGCCACTGTCGTGGCCTTTTGATAGCAGGTTTAATGATGTGACAGCAGCTGTAATGATATGGCGGGGGTGGGGGCTCATGCAGACCCAGTGCCAGCATGTAGTCTGCACCCCCCCCCCATTCCCCACTCCCCCGTCACATCCTCTTCTCTTTAGCTTGCGGTCACTGGCCCTAGTTCCTTGTGCCTAGAGAGGGGACAGAGCAGCAAGAGGGAGAGAGAGACACACCACCTGAATACAGAGCAGACTCCAAGAAGCAGTTGCACTTTCCAGCCCCACCCCTGAAGTAGCCTTATTGCTGCGGTTGGCAATTGGTACTGGTTATTGAGGGTATGTATAAGTGTATGTGAAGGAAGTCTGGAGTTTAGACTAGCAGACCGGAGGGTTATAGTTTCTGCTTTGTATGTGGTGTGTGGGCAGGGCTGGGCTGACTACAGGATCTACACCTTCCGTTTCCTGGGACCCTCAGGGAAGAGATGACAATGCTACCCTTAAACTGCAAAAGCCTGAGGAGGCAGCATATGCTGCTGGAGTGGTGTGGGCAGGAGGTGGGGAAGATCTGGGCCGTTTGGGATGAACGTCCAGTCTGAGCAGCCTTGGTTCTCTCCCACTGTGGTATCTGAAGCTGGCCTCGATGAGGCCCCACTGTGGAAGGAAAGGTCAGAAGAGCTTGGCAGTGACCCGGTTACCCCCAGAGTTCTTGTCCCCAGAGGTCCGAGGTGCCACAAAGTCGAAGGTCATGTGATGTTTGACCCGGCCTTTGCCTTTGCTCCAGAGGGCGATGAGGCCAAAACAGAGGGTCACCGAGGTGAGGAAGGGGAGGAAGCCAACCGCCAGCACCATAGCTATGCCTCTGCTGTCCAAAAAGAAAGGCCCTGGGATCCCTGGCGAGGTGATGTTGGGGTCAGAGAGAGTGCCATTCGGTGGTTCAACTTGGATCACTTCCAGCCAGGTCCTCAGGGAGTCATTCCCCGCCACGTTGCTGACCACACAGACATAGGCCCCTCTATCCCGGAGCTGCACAGAGCGGATCTCCAGCGTCCCATCCTGGAGGACCCTTACTCTCCCAGCCCTCCCCAGCCGAACCCCCTGAGGCCTCATCCAGGAGACGGTGGGGGCTGGGTCCCCATCTCCAGAGCAGGAGAAAACAGCATGCCCTCCCTCCTCAGCCATGACCCAGCGCGGCCCAGATTTTCGGATCAGGGCTGGTCGGCAGGTAAAGTGCCCTGGAGGTAGGATGTCTGAAAACTCCCTCAGGCTTTTCCCCTGGACATGCTGGGGGCCAGCACAGGCAGGTGGGGTAGAGCCAAAGTCCAGGCGGCGGCGGAGCCGGAGCAGCCAGAGGAGGCGGCAGTCACAGGTCAGGGGGTTGCCTGACAGCCTCAGGGTGACCAGTTTGTCTGGAGAAGGGAAGGCTGTTTCCTCCAGTGTCTGAAGGGCGTTGTCTGCCACATCCAGGAGGTGGAAGGCTGTCAAGCCATGGAAGGCGTGGGCCGCAATGGAGGTGAGGCAGGCACCCGACAGTCGGAGCTCCTGGAGCCGCACCAGGGAACTGAGCCTCCGTGCTGGGATGGCCGAGATGGGGTTCCGAGAAAGATCCAAGACCCTGAGGAAGCTCAGGTGGTGCAGTGCTTGGAAGGGCACCGAGCTCAGATTGCAGTGGGTGATGGCCAGGCTGCTGAGATTGAGCCCGCCCAGGCTCCCTGGCTCCAGAGCCTCCAGAGATGGCCAGTGGTGGATCTCCAGCTCCCTTAGCTGCCCCAGCCCCCGCAGCGCCCCCGCCGGCAGCCTCCCGATGTCCAGTTCTCGGAGCCTCAGGGCCCCCAGTGCCGGGAGACGGGCCAGGGCTGGGCCAGGCACGGTGCTGAGGTTGCAGCGCTCCAGGGTGAGGGTGCTCAGCTTGGCCAACCCGGCAAAGGCTCCCGGAGCCACAAACACCAGGTGGTTGTCCCCAACCTCCAGCTGCTGGAGGCTGCCTAGCTCCCTGAAAGCGCCGTCAAGGAAGAGGACAATCTGGTTGAGGCGAAGGTCCAGCAGTGTGAGGGCGGACAGGCCCGAGAAGACCCCCGGTCCCATGATTCGCAGCCGGTTGCCCTGCAGCCTCAGGATGAGTAGGCTGTGCAGGCCATGGAAGGCCCCCGGCTCCAGGGTGGAGAGCTGGTTGTAGCTCAGGTCGAGCTCCCGGAGCTGGCCCAGGCGGGAGAGCATTCCCTGCTGAAGCCCCCACAGGCGGTTCCCACTCAGGTCCAGGAGCTCGGTGTCTCGTGGGAGTCCCCCCGGGACAGCCTCCAGTCGCCGGTGGGCGCACAGCACGGCCTGGGGGTGGGAGGTGCAGTCACACACAGTGGGGCAGGTGCCGCTGCTCCCCACCGCCGGCAGGAGGAGCAGGAAGAAGACCGGGGGCCATGGGGGCCAGGCTTGCTTTGGAGCTGTGGCCACAGCCATGCCCTCTTTGCTCCTGGAACAGAGGATGACATGGCCCTTTTTGGAAAGTGGCTCAGATGATGGGTCCCATGGATTTCCCTGAGCCTCCATAGAGGAGAGAGATTGTCTCAGCGTGGCCAGGTAGTGTGCAGACACAGGAGAGATTCTGGCGTACACCCCCTGGAGCCTCCTCTGTGGGGACTCTCTACTACCCTCCACCACCCCTGGGTAACAGGCCAAGTGCTTAGTAGCTCATGGAACCCTAGTCCAGTGGGGAAGATTTTATGGGAACATGACAGGAAGCAGCAGGGAAGTAACTTTTGAGTTTCCCTCTATCTCAGAGATCCAGAAATACCTAGGTCCCTTCTCCGGACAGCTGCTCTCCTAGTCTCTGCCCTGTCCCTCTCTGCCCACCCTTCTCTCATTTTATCTGCCCACAGCTTTGTCTAAGGCTTAAGGGGGTCATATCCCTGCATCCTCATTGGAGAGAGGCCTCACCTTGACTAAGTCATCCACGCCTGGAAAGCAGGTGGACCTCAATTCGCCCCCCACCCCCCAGGCTCCATTCACTGCCTCTCTGCCCTCCTCCAGCCTGGCCCAGGGCCTGAGGCCCCAGACTAACACGAGGCAATCTCCCCAGAACGCCTTGTGGATGACAGCCAAGCTGCACAGTAAATGTGGCAGAGGATACAGGGCACACATGAATCCCTCACCAGAGCCCCAAGGGCAGCCCACCTCCTCTGTGGATGACGTTGTGGTGTAAGGGACGCAAGAGAGGCCTGAGCATTATTTGCTTGGCCCTCAGACTTAGGCTTCTCTCATGCCCCTCCGTGCTGTTTTGATTCAAACCCGGTGTGGGAGTCTGAGAGAGATCTCTTATTGCCTTTGGCCTCTGTTGCCTGAGAAATGCACAAGAGACACGCTGGGAGCCAGGGAGGCATAGACGAGTGAGGAGGGACAGTGTCTGAAGATACCGTGGTGGGAGTAGGCAGGCCCTTGGCTGGCATAGGAGATCTCCGCACAGGCTGTGTGCCCAGCCTGTCAACTTAAAGTAAGTTTCTGGGTGCCAGGTGCCTGGGCAAAATTAGGAAGATGGTGGCTATGATGACCACTGGAGGCTGAATGAGGTGACAGAGGAGAAAAGATCCCATGGACCCACCCTGTCTAATGACCACTGGGACCCCAAGAGAGGGGAGGTACTGGAATTGGCAAGGGATGGCTGCAGAGATAGGACAAGAGCAAACTAATGCTCCCTGGGAGGCAGGATGCCTGGGTTTCTTTCTAGCTGCATATCCCAGTCACCTTTGACCTTTCAGACTTCTGTCTTTCTGGGCCCTATGATGTCAACTTTCTACCACATGGGCCATTTTCTCCCAGGTGGAACTTAGGAAAGACACTTTAAAAGAGAGTGTGATTTTTTCCCCGTTTATTTCCCACACTATACCCGCTCCCACAAGGATCATTCAGGTGGCTACCCTACAGCTATTTCAGAGGACCATAGTAGTTCGGGAACTGCAGAAAGAGACCGAAAGAGCAAGGGATGTGGGACACTATTCTGGGGCTTGGGCATGAGAAAGAATGGCCCAGCTGAGGGTACTGAGCAGGCTCCTCTGTTCCCAACCAAACAGGTATGGATGGCATGCTAAGAGTTCTCCAGGGAGCAATGTCCCAGCTTCCCTCATCCCTGTCCCCCTCCCCCAGTGCCTGTCCTGGAAAGTCCACCTGACAGCTAGCTCTTTATCACTACTGCTGCAGTTCCTGCTCTTCCTTCTTTCCTGCATTGAGCAAAAGTGCAGTGAAGCGTGTAACCCAGCTTCCCTCCTTCCCACTCTTGTGAGCATCCTCTTAGTCTCCAGAGCCTGCCAGACCAGGGGCTGGCAGCTCCAGGCCCCTTCTCTTTAAAGGTGGCTAATGTAATCATAGACTTCCTTTGCCAAGCTCCGTGGCTATGGGACTGGCTCCCGGCCACTTTGCAGGAAGAGATAGGTGTCAGAACCACTTCTTTCTCTCCTCATGTGGGCTGGGGTCCAGGGGCATCACCCTCAAGAAGCAGGGTGCTTTCTTCTTCTTGTCTCTGTGTGCCAGTCCAGGGACACATTTGATCCTGGACAGCCTCTTTAAAGCAGACTTGAGTGAAGCATGGGAAACTACATGTGGAGGGGGCTCCTGGAGGAAAGATCTCTGGAATAGCCACACTGATTGCAAAATAATCCTTCCCAGAAGTAGAGAGAGCACCTGGGAAATGGAGGGAGATCTCCTTGGAGTCCTTCTGCCCAGGGGCACCTGGGACATTTTACTTTTCCCATCAGAGTCCTAAGGGGCCAAGATCAATGGTGGGCTGGGGGTGGAGTGGGCACAAACCCTCTAGCCCTCATGGGTCTGGCCTTGTCTCTGAGCATATTTTGGAGAAGGGCAGCTGCAGCTCCAGGACAGGAGGTGGGGGCACTTACCGGAGAAGCTGGAGGGTGGCATCAAGTTGGGCACCGCATCTGTTCAGGGTTGGGGTCCCGTCCCATTCAAGCTGCCCCTCGGCCTGCACCTCCCCGTGTACCTCACTCCCCGCCTGCCCGCCTGCCGGGCTGCTGCTGCTATTGCTGCTGCAGCTGCCTGCTGCCAAGACCGAGGTAGACAGAAGAGCCAGAAAGCATTTCTCTTTTTTTTTTTTTCCTCTCTCTCTTTTTAAACCGGGCGAGAATGAGTCTGCAGCAACCCTGTTGGTGCAAAATAAATAAATAAAGCAACCAGGGAGGGCTGCAGCAGTCGCCACTACAGGCTGGTCGTGGAGGGGAGGGAGCGCAGGGGGAGGCTTGGAGCCCCAGGGGTGGGAGGGTTGGCAGCTCCACGGAGTCTCTTGGACATCCTGACTCCCCCTGGGGAGCTCTGGGGCTGGCCAGGCACTCTGCAAAGGGTTGTCTTTCAGTCTCAAATGCCGGGCGATTCTGTTCCTCCTCTCATTCTCAATGTCCCCTGTGGGTATCATTTGTGGGGGAAGTTCTCAGTCCAGAGCACCCGCTGTGGTGCTTAGTCTGAGATTGCTTCAGTGGTGGGGGGCAGGGGGCGTTCCTGATAGTCAGCTCCCTCACCTCTATGGGGGACGGCTCGGGGTTGGGGGCTGCCTGGGCTAGGAACCTGGGTCCTCATGCAGAAATGAGGTTTCAGAGAAGTACTAGGATAACCTTCATTAAGGCTCTTCCAACCTGACACACACACCTCTTGCCTTTGAAATCATTTTATAAAGAATGGCACAGGTTGGGGTTTATGTTTACACTCCCCTGAGAGGAGAAAAAAAGAAAAAAACCAAACCTTCTGACCACCTGCTGTTTCCCTCCAAGGAGGGCACACAGCTATTTATAAAACCAAGAGAAGTTCTTGGGCAAGATCACGGTCTTCTCCACCTTGCTGGACCCGGCGGTATCCACGTAGAGAGTGCTGGAATTGCATCTGCCTCCTTTTTCATAATAAGAGCAGGGCTGCAGGATGGGTACCAGACAACTAGTACTCCAAGGGTCTGTCCTTGGCCCTGTGACTGATCAGCGTCCAGCCTTTTAGGATTTCTTGCAACCGAAGACAGCTGGGGCTGACATAGAGTTTGGGCCACCCCTGGCCTAAGACTGGTGAAGTTGGGCACCAGGTGAAATGTTCTGGGGTTCCTCAGGATTGGGACTCTTCCCTGAGACTGCTAAGTTCCTCTGAGATGTGACCTCAAGGAAGACAGAGATTGTGTCAGATTAAATGTGTCTACAGAGCCGCATGACTGCAGGTTGAGTGTGTGAGTATGTTTCACCTGTCTGTAGATGTGTGTCTCTGACAGGTTTGGGTAACTCCTAAAGTCCATTTTTAAAGTGCACATAAGAAGTCTGAGTTCTAACTGTCTGTGATGTTCTTGGTCTTCATCATACCCTATCCTTATATGCAAATCCCATAAAATTATCATCCCCAGCCCCTCCCTTACTCCCATCCCATCCTTACCCTTCACATATCCAGTTTTTGGTTTTTTTTTTAAGACCCCAGAGTGCCTAACCATTTCCTTGCTGAGCTGGGAGGAAGGGAGAAGGCAGAAAACCTAGTGATGCAGATTCATGTTATATACAGGTCCTTCTGGGCTCCGGCCGCCAGTCTCCAAGCTTGTTGCACCACCCCAGCCAAAGCCCCCAGGGAAATGCAATGAGGTATTTCAAAGTCCTATTCTTAGCTTCTGAGTCCAGAGTTGAGTTCCATTCATCCAGAGTGTCCTGGAACCCCCTATTGTCCTGAGGATACCTAGGTCCTCCAAGAGGTCCTTGTATCCCACTCCAGGCCTCCTAGAAACTAGGGGTGACAGGGCATGGGAAAGGAGTCTGGACAAAGCTGAAGCTGGGGATGGAGCCCCTCCATCCTGACCCTCTGGTTCTTGGCCTGCTGCCAGGCAGGCTGGTGGGCTGAAACCCAGTCTCAGCATTTGTTCACCCATCCCCCCAAACAGTCAGAGACCACCCTCCAGGGGCCACAGGAAAGGAAAAGGCCAAGGGAAAGGTGAGCCAGCAGGCTCTAGGAAAGGGAACGGAGTCCCTCCTCCAGGTCACTTGGACAGTCCCTCAGGTGACTCGATTTCAGTGCTGAAGAGTTCCTTGTAGAGTGGAGGGAAAGCAGCTTGGACCACGATAGGGTGGAGATGCTGGAAGGTTTGCAGCTTTTCCACATGCTGGCTACACAGGCTCCGCAGCTTCCCCTTGGGTGGCAGCTGGAGGTGGGTTCATGGGGAAGGAGGGTGAGTACTGCAGCTCTGTCCCCAGGTCAGAGAAGTCCTCCCATCTTTCCTGGGCTGGGATAACCCTCTGTACTCTGTCCCTGCACACTCAGCACTTGCGGGTCAGCCAGATCCCATTGGTAGGGGTAGGTCTGTATTCAAGGAACTGGAGGCACGTGAGAACTGCAGTGGAATAGGAACATGTTTTCTGGCCGAACCCCCAAATGGTGTTCCTGATACTCGTTAAATGAGCCCTGTTCAGGACTCTCTAACTCACTCTCTTATGCTTTTTTAA